TATCCAGCCCTGTTCCCTAGATATTAAGGGACTTCAGCTCACCCTCTCCATTTGTCTTCTCATAAGCAGAACTCATGCTTGTTATTCACATTCATCTGCATGCATATCCACAAGAAGCAAAGCCAGCCACAGCAGCAGCATCAAGAGCAGATAATCCAAGAAATCTTCACTCCCACCAAGAGAACTGAGATTTGGATTGTGATGGGAGGGAAATCAAGGCTAGAGAAATGCTTTTTTTTTTTTAATCCATACTCTTTCAAAAAAAAAAAAGCAAACAACTTTATAGTATTCTTGAGAGGCAGGGAAGACTGTACTATACTGTTTCCATGCTATATTCCATTCAAGTCTTATTAGGGCTTCTACCCTACAAGCAGTTTTGGCCTCTACTATTCAAGCAATCTCTGATGCTGCTGTGTTTGGCTCCTTCTTCCAATACTTATGGAACATATCTGAACAGCAGAGCTGTTACCCAGGAAGTCAACCAAAATCTAGTTACCATGATTTTTAAAACAGACCAAAGGAAAACAAATGATTAAGAGAACTCTAGAAGAGGCAGGCATTTAGGAATATAAACCTATAGAATTTCAAGGAGACATATAGACAATTTACCATTCAATAAAAAGAGATGTGCCACACCTGTATCGCAGTTCAGCTGCTCTGCAGTAACTACACTGCACACAGTCTTTACCTCTTGTGAGTACAAGGCAAACCATGTCATCTTACTCTTTCATTGAGGCCTAATCTAAGGCAATTTCATTTCCAGTTACTCTGAGATGAGAGCACACAAACAAGATGTTACCATGGAGCAGCTGAAGTCCTACCCCTTTTTTTCACGTGGTATATTGTGCATATGTCTATGCCTTTAATCATTTAAGTACCTACGTCACTTTTAGCAACAGGACCTGTGTATCACTGACCATTTTACTTAAACTATGCATCATAATTCCCTTTTTAAATTTAAAAATCTGCTCTAAAAGTCACTGCTAAATTATTGCATTTAGCATTTTATCATGTTACAATATTCATCTGATCATGTTACAATTGTTTTATGCCACTGCTATAGAATTAAGGTCGGGTAACATCCAAATCTAAGAATACCAACCTTGCTTATTTTGAGGGGTTTTGCTGACCCGATAAGAAGATTCAATATTTTTTCCTGGTGCTGGATCAGAACAATCCCTCATTAAATCAGTGCACTGAATTAAAAGTAACTTTTATGCACTGAAATGAACATCTGGTGAAAATATTCTGATACACAAACCTACAACCTTCATTTTAAAAGCCACTCAAACCTGGATGCTAACCATTTTACTATTTGAATAGCCTATAAATTAACTGCATTTAAAGTAGAAAATATTGCTTTTAAACAAATAAACATGAGGTGATGGAAAATAAAATGCTATATTTGCTACCCACTGTAAATAAGTTCTCCTTCTAGCAAAATACAGTATTTATGCAAACTAGCAGATACCTAAAAAGATAAAGGAGAAAAGAATAAAACAGATTTCAAAACTAAAATTTATGTAATGATCTTCCAACTATAACAACTTTCTAAGAGCGAATCATTATACACTGTAAAGTGAGAGATATAAAACTTTTTTTTACCTTTAAAATTTAAAGCCAACTCTCACTCCACTAAAAAAAAACTGAAATAAATTCTTTGAACATCTCTGGGCTGTCCCTAATGCCGGTACTACCAGGCTACAAACTTGGTAAAACTTCAACTATTACATCAAGGAAGTACAGCAAATGAACAGCTCTGTAGTATTGTTTACATTTTTTGTCAATTAAAAATAAAACTGAGAAACATCCACAAGCAACTGAATATATTGATTTCCAACGTGTACTGAATAGTGTGTGCAAAAATTTTCTTCTCAAAATAAGGCAAACAATGAAAAAAATCAGAGTTTACAAGTTTGAAAGTAAAAAGACAGGGAAAGTAATAAATAAATGAAGATAGTTTGAGAGAACAGTCTCTGGGTGGCCATTACACTTACCATTTAGGTCCTTCTTTTAAACTGAACAGTGAAAAAGGATAGGATATAAGTGAAGGAAGCTTACTTTTTCAAAGCTTTTAAGAAACAAAAACAAGTATTAGAAATAATTATCATTTCCTTCCATAGAAGAACACATGATGTTTTAAAGATTAAGAAATATGCCATACTTAAAGTAGGCTGGGAAACCCATTATGAAGTTCTGATATAGTAAAATCCCCACACAAATATTATGCTAAAAATAACAAATTTTAGGTAACTAAAATAATTTGATTAAAGAAGACATTGTCAAGATGATGGTGGATATTCCGTTAAATACATCTTTTCACAGTATCCGGTAATAATGGTTCACATTTCTGGCCTACTCCAAAATGCATAATTTTCAATGAAGAATCTCATTCATATGTTAGAACTTAAGTAGCTATCTATGAAACTTGTTTCATCTTCAATATTAAAGAATGACATAATAGTCCCCTACAATGAAAACTAGTAGTAAAGGAAATAGTAAAAGGGACATGCAATTTTCATTCGGTCTTTTTTTTGCATTTTAAATTAAGCTACTTCAGTAAAAGCCAACATATCACAACAAAAGCAGAATCACTACAACTTACTAAACAAAATCAACTCTTTCAAAGCGTTTTACAGAACTGTCGTTTAAGTTCATGTGACATTCCCATTTGAAAATATAACGTATTCATATTATATAGCATAATTCAGATCAATTTTAGCAGTGATATACTTCTGAATACATGTTTTCTGCAGCAGACTATTAGTTTCCAATTATCAGAAATTGTTAAAACAGGATGGACCTCAGTGGAACAATCACAAATTTTGAAAAGTATTTTGAAATGCTTCAGGCTTATTCTACCTGGAAAGTCATCCTAACATTTACAATAGTGTAAAAAGTGCATATATGACACACACTAATTATCATGCTACATTCAGTTTGGTTTTCAGCGCTTCTCCTTTGAAGATGGGCCAAATATCAGTGAAATAACAGGACCTGTAGTATATATCCAAACATGTTTAAGGCTGTAGTTACATAAAATGAATGCTGTATGTAACAGATCTTATGTTGTAAAAGAGATTAAAATGTAAATTGAAGTTAAATTTAGTAAAATTTGCAGCAGCAGGTCACTGATGGCCCTGCTTTAATTGTGGCAGATTAGAGTGCTTTTCATGGCTTTAGCCAATATGCCTTGTAATTGTACAACAGAGTCAATCATATAGCTTTAGGAATAGCTTAGAACAGAACTTGAAAATGATGGTTTGGATAGAGATGATCCTTCCTTGAACAGGGAGTTAAATTAGAGGTCCCCTTCCAGCCCTATAAAATCATATTACACAACTGTAAAACACTACAAAAGTCAAAATGTTCTAAGTTTCTAACTGTGTACCACAATAATTCAAAAATGCACACAAAAGGTATCAACTTTTAACCACTTGACTTATAAAAATGTTATATCTTACATCCTCCATTATCCTAAAGAAAAAATAAATGCTTAATTCTTACATACATCTTTTTTCACAATGCAAGGATGTATGCAAGTGAAAACCAGCAAAAAAACAAAAAACAAAAACACAAACCAACTCTCTGCTGAAAACTTCTTTTTGGTGATGTAATCAACTTCAACTAGTTAATCTGGCCAAAAACTCTACTAGCCGGTAGCAACGCCATGAATACCTGTTTAAAAATAACCTTAATAACTTATTGCCCCACCTTTGTGTTCCCCCTCTCCCACACATCTCTCTACGAAGGAACCTGCCTAAGTTTTCTGAAGAATTTCTCAAGATGTTTTAGAACACAATTATACTTTCATCAGTCATGACAGAAAATGTGATAAACCTGGATGTTTACAAAAGATTATGTTCCTTTCCAAAAAACATGAAGTCACTGAACAGTTTTTGATGTTTTCAACAGCTAAGCCTCTACCTACACAATGAATAGTACCACTTAATGTAAAGTTAAAATGTTTCCCTCAAATTAAAAGTAAAGTGAAAATGCTGGCACAAACTACACAAGTGTGGCAGTCATTGTAATGGTGTAAAGCAGACTGATACTCATAAAGCTTAGTTCCCTTCAAAAATAGTTGTATCCATGTAAGGCACGGATGGATACCCTTTAAGTATCCAAGTGGTCTTAATTACATCCTTAACCAAATCAAAACAATAATTCTGTATATACCAGACATTCTTTTGTGATGTCACTGCTTCACTATTTTTCCAGGCACCTTTCTTCCAAGGCAGACCAGGCCTAAATTACTAATGTGAAAAAGGAGAATTTTTAAAAACCCAATGCATCCACAATAGAAGAAAAGAACATTTTTCTTCTTTTTAGGTTTTCTTGAGTTCTTTTAGCTAGAAGGGCTTTGAAGAAAATTATATTCTCACCCTACTAGTTACAGCAGATTCAAGGTGGGCAGCAATCTTATGCCCTGTTTACATTCTTTTTCTTATCCTGCATAAACCCTTGTGTGGACACTTTTTTTTAAGAGCTGCTTACTGATTCACATAAACTTAACATAAACCGAAAGAAAAATGTCCAAACACAGGTCTGCACCAGTATAAATAGATCTAAAATTCACAACTTTAACCAAACCAATGCAACTCTCCATTTAGATGCAGCCCAGAGAAAATATGGGAAATATGTTTGACCCTTGAAGAAAAGTGGTATTGTTGAGACAGCAAATTTATACAAAAGATGAGGTCCTGAATCTGTAAATAAATATTTATACACTTTCTATTAGCTGAAATCCTGAGTCACTGGGAAAAGAGAGAGTATTTGTCATTATGTACCAAAGACAAAACTGCAATGCTAGGAGTGGGCCATAAAAATGAACTGCTGTCATTTTGCTGTAAAAGTAGCACTATTCAAAAGATGTAAAAGAGCAGACTGGAAGAAATCACATTCATCTGGTTATCCTAGAGAACACAGGAAAAGTCATGCCAGACCAACCTTATTTTTTTTACTTTACACTTGAGATGTTAAGCAAAGATTCTACTTACATTGTCCATGAAATTTGGTTTAAACCCTCCTTCCTGCTGCCGTCTGAGTTCTTCCTGTTCTCGCTGGCGTAACATCTCTTCTTCACGACGTCGGTGCTCTTCTTCATGTCTAAAAGAATTAATAAAGTTGTGTAAATTAAGTTCTTAGCTTTTTCACACTGCTTCACTGCATCAGGCCTCAAGGGTTAAAACTAATTAAATTCAAAATGAGAACACTTGACGCTGCCTACTAGCCTTTGACATGCCACTTAGTTACTGTGGTATTTACTAGGCCTGTGCGAAGCAGCTAGGGTTTGCTTTGGATTCAGCCGATTCCGGGGACAGCAATTCAATTCGGTGATTCCAATCACTGTCCTGATTCGATTCAGCCAAATCTCCGAATCAGCCAGGCCAGGTCCATCCCTTGCCCGCTCTCCCAGCCCTGCAATGGCTGCCCTGCCCGCCCCAGCTCCCAGCACTTGGGGGGAAAAAAGCTCCGGCTCATCAGGTGCTGCCAGGTGGAGGGCCACCCCTGCTGCACCCCACTGCAGGGGGAGGGGGGGCTCTGCACAAGCCCCTGAACCCCCTCCCCATGCCCCCTCACAGGTGCCCCACACTGGCCAGCTCTGGCCCTTTAAGGAAAAAACCCTGAAGAAACCCCAGGACTCACTGCTCCTGCTGGTGGGGGGCGATCCTTCTGCATGACCCCCCAAAGCTGCACCAGGAGCAGCGAGTCCTGGGGCTTTTCTTGGCTTTTTTTCTCTCCTTAAAGTGCCAGACCTTGGCAGGCAGAACAGCCGTGGGGGGGCTGGGGGGGGGTCAAGGGGGCTCATGCAGAGCCCCC